ATCCTGCATGAGATGAGTAATTGTTGGTGTCTTATTCCAATAATATATGAAAACCCTGGTATGATACTGATTGTATTTTTTTGGGTGCATGGAAGCAAATCTTGTGCAAGGTTATAAAAATTATGACATCCCTGCATCTGGTGAAGGTGCATTGTTCTAAATGAAATATTATTCTATCTGTTAGTAACTACGTTATTGCTAGAATGTATAACACTATAACTTAGAGGTGTTCTGGGTAGGATGTGTTTATGTTGACCTCTTTCCTGCTCGATCTTCTACATAGACGATTTTACCATGGGCTCTGGGCCTGCTGTTTTCATGCCAATATTTGCACTTAATATTTATCATAGTTGCGCTGTGTATCATCAAGGTTCGACACTTGTTTATGTATTATCACCTAGTTATTTGTTCTTGTAAATGCTTCGATGCTCCATAATTTGAGTTTAGTCACTGAGCACTCACAGTTCTTGGGCTGTGAGTATGTGTATCACCTTGATTCTGTTTTACATCTCAGTAGCTGCCAGTAACATCATGCTTTGTTGTTCCTCTAGAGATTGTAGTGTTGAACTCTTGATGGCGCTATGTTGCACTTTGCAGTGTGAGCTTGACCCTGTTTTACCTTTAAAATTGTAACTGCCATGGACTCTGCGGCCTTGCGTAAAATGTCCCAAACCATTCTATCTAGCTCATTCTTGGAATTCCCTGCAATTTGTGGCCTAAACAAGTTCAATTGAGCAGTCTAGTATACCGATTGATACTTGATTTTGTAGCCAAAGAATTTGTTTAACATAGTTCTAATACATTTGACCATTTTCAGGCTGAAGACGAAGACGGTGAAGCTGAGGATGACGAAGTTGATGCGGATGCAGAAGACAAGGAGAACATCGAAAGCAAAGCAGGATCTTCCCTGCCAAATAAGAGGAAAAGGGATAGCAAGGATGATGCCAATGGAGACAAGTAAAACGGTGAGGGAAGTAGTATTTCCTGAACTTCGGAAGCGTTCCTGTGCACTGATTATTATTTGCATGCTTTCTGGTTCTTTTTTTCCAGCACTTGTAATAGACTAGAGCATAGTGTTTTAGGCAATTCCATTTCTGAAGTATCTTCTGGATTCTGGAAGTTGTCTGACTCTGAAACAATGAGTACTCTTGGATGTCCCCAGCATGTATACTCTCTTTGTTCGGTATGACTTCCTGATGCTACTAATCGAGATCCCAGTTCATATTATGATACTTGTGCTTCTGGAGGATGACCTTTTTATGCTTGTATGTAAACTATGTATATGTTTCATTGACTTCCTGGTGCGATATTTCCTACCTCAAGGTAGTGCACTCCGTCCCAAATTGTTTTGGACTCTTTGGTTGTCTGCTTGTGACCTGACACCTGACTTCTACAATCCGAAGCGTTCAAAGATGTGGACTGACTGAAGTGACTGTGAAACGCTTCCATTAAAACTTGTTTGTAGGAGGTTGTTTCCATTAGAAATTATTCCACTTGGGCTGGTTCCCTCATGAATATTCGATGCATTTTCGCTTGTGTGAAACGAATCAATGGGAAGATTCAACATTCCTGCATTTCCTTGCTGTTAAAATGTCTAATTAAACAATGGTTGCTTCTTACAAGAACGAAAACAATAACAAAGAATGTTTATCCCGAGACAGCTTACTTAGAAGCTCTGTGATCTGAAATGCTTAGCACCTTGATATTGCTTGGTCAATTTTTTTCTATTAATTTGGCTCCAGATGTGAGAGAATTAAAATCCATTAGAACTTCATTGGACGTACTTAGGTTCTATCGACAAATTTGATGTACAAATGGACTAAATTGTAAGGGTATCGTTCACTCGCCCATTGGAATACACAACATGTATCTAATGGTGCTCGACGGATCTGATTGTTTTTTTATTCAAATGCACGAATGCTCAAATTCCTTCTCTTATTTCCCAGACGACCAATCGGTTGAACTAGGTGTGCTCATCTGTTTCGCATTTGCATAAATCATCAAACAGCGACACCTACTGTTTCCAGCGTAGGAATTTTCCCTCTTCGGCACGCGTAGTCTGTAGGGTCAGCAACGGGCGCTGTAAATCAATGTAGTCTGGAGGTAGTCTATATTATATAATCTTTCTGCAAAGTCCAGCAGGACGGCCAAGGAGCCAAAATTTCTGTCGTGATTTTGGTATCGTGATTTTGGTTTGGCCTATCCATCTCACATTATATCATGGATTAAACTAATCGACTCTCCGTGTTTTGTCCGTTCTCAGTCTCTTCTCCGTCTAAAATAAAGAAACAAAATTTCTGCCTTGATTTTGGTCCGGCCTATCCATTTCACGTTATGGCCCCCTCTTATAATTCGTATTTTCAGTTTGTTTTTTCAACCGAAATAATATTTTTCTCTCACAACAAATCAGTCGGAACAGTGTTTCGGCTTGTTTTTTCAGCGAAGCGAACGGGGCCTATATCATGGACTAGATATATACCCGTGCATTGTACGGGGCGACGAATTTGTATCAATGTGTACGATGTTGATGTTGCACGTGGCTTATGGTTTAGATGAACATATTAACATTTTTTTTATCGGACCTATTATCCAATTTTTATCCATGTCTATGAGGATCAGTGTTCGCCTAAACGGCTGATTAAATGATCAGTAAACGGTAAATGGTGGTAAACTACTTTGTTTAGAGGGTAAACGAAAATTAAACAGTTGACCGTTTAAACGGTCAAAAAACGGTCTAAACGGCCTAAACAGAACGGAGATAAACAACATTAAATGAGCTAAACAGCTGTTTAAATGGCTCTTTAGGCGGACACGAGTTAAATCTAGTTCAATTTTGTATAGATAAATTTGTATACTTAAGTTTATTATATTTATAAATATGTACACTTGATATGTTACATGCATAAATATCTATATTTTGTTCTTTTCACATGCATAAATATATATACATACCAAAATAATTGATTTTTACTCGGATAAATATGTATAAATGCTAGAATACTTGATTTTTTACATGCACATATATAAATTATATGTATTTTTTAAAAAGTACAAAACCGTTTAGACCGTTTAATCTCATTTAAACACTGTGTAAACAACCTAAACGCTAAACGAAGGGCGACCGTGTAAAAACCGTTTACCGTTTAGAAAAACATTGATGAGGATGCACATGGCTTACGGTTTAAACAAACACAAACGTATTAAGAAATATATAAATTTGATTACATAAAGCATATTTCATGACCTTTATATGCATATACCGTGCAGATCTTCTGGTATACAAAAACCTATGAATAATATTTTTTAAATTAGACTTTTTGTGATTTATTATTATACATTTTCAAAATTAATAAAAATCTAATAAACACTTTTTGCATTTGGAACTCTAAACTATTTCTAAATTCATCCAGGTTTTCCTTCTTCTTTTATATTGGTAGATTAATGGGCCGTGTTGTTACATGCGGGCATCATGCAAATCACCACTCAACGGACTCGTAGTAGGTTTGTCCGTTCGACCCATGACACGTCGTTCCTTGGTTCATGCTCTCATACGAGGGTGAGCGGGGTGTAGATATAAATGGGCACACAGCCCGAGCCGGTCGACCCAGCACGAGGCCCGTATTTTTAACCCGGTCCAAGCACGCCCCAGCCCGGTGGCCAACGGGCCCGTGCCAGCATGGCCCACGAAGCAGGCCATGCCTGGTCCGCTCCCTAGGCCCGTCGGACGGCACGGCACAGCCCGCAAAATAGTGAAAGGCCCGGTGCTGGCCCGGTGGCTGGCATGGCCTGCTAATGGCCCAGGTTTCTATTCCCCGTAACCCTATCCTGCTCTCTCGGTCCCTTCCCGTGCCGCACTCATAGTCCCGTACGAGAGCTGCGACCCAGCACGGCCGCACTCGCTTCCCTTGTCTCGCGGAGCCGCTCCTTCGTCCTCCCCATCTCTCTCAATCCACCAGATCTCACTCCTCCACGAAGATGGTTGGGAGAGGCAGGCAGATGCGAGCGCGCGACCGTTGCGGTGGTGGCTTGGCTGGGCAGTCCGGCGGCGACCGCGCCCTTCGGGTGGAGGTCGTTGCGTTCGCGCCTGGCTGCGGCCACGTGGAGCACAGAGGTTTATCAGCGTTTTCCTCTTATAACAAATCAGCACCAGCCAGCCGGGCTTGTCAGCCCAGAAACCAACCAGCGAAACAGGCTAGAATAGAGGGGGGGGGGAAGAAGGGGGCCGGCGCCAGCGGCGAACCCAGAAAATATTTCAGGGGGGGCTGAACAACACTGTTGTCCGATCTTAAATCTCAGCCCCCCTACACTATAGAATTTTACCTAAAAATTCATGGGGGCTCCACAAGGGGTTCCACTGCTGCGATATGGGTAGGGGGGCTCCGCTGTGTCCGCCCCTGGCCGGCGCTCAGCCTTAATTGCCTAGAGCTTGGCATTGAGTCAGGCCACACTGAGGTTTGTCGCTCGGCATTAAAGGGATTGACGCCGAGGTCCGCAGGGCCCATTGCCACGCTGAATCTTGTGTGCCAACCAAGCCCTGAGTTGTCACTGACGTGGCAGGGTGTCGGCGTGACCTGACCGCACGCCGAGGCACGTACCTCGGTGTAGTGTTCTATGACGCCAAGCTTTGGGTCCATTCTTAGAAAAGATTTGGCGGGAAGTCTATTTGTAAAAAAGGTGTTCAAAAAAGACTAAAATACAGAAAGAAAAATTCAGTAGCCGCACTGTAGGCAACCAATCCTCATGGGCTCATGGTCTCATGGTCAGTCATGGCCGCCGCTCAACCTGGCCTCCGTCAACTGCAGAACCGCGTCCGGAAGCAGGAGGAAGCGGTCAACACCTGTGGGCCGCATGGTAATCGCTGGGGCATCATTCAGAGATGATGAGCGGCTGCAGATAACCGAGTTGCAATGCATTTCTGAAAAGCAAACGCTACCGGAATCGGAAGTAGCCGTGCACAGGTGCAGTGAGTAGCTGCACAGCACTGCACGCAACCAAACCTCATGGCCGCCGCACCCTCCACGCTCAACATGGCCTCCGTCCTCCTACTGCTGCTTCTCTTCTCCGTTCACTGGCCGGGCCGCAGCCACGCTTTCAGCCTCATGAACTACCTCTGCAACAACGGCAGCTCCTACGCCATCAACTCCACCTACCGCTCCAACGTCGTCGCGCTCCTCGGGTCCCTGTCTGCCAACGCGTCCAGCTCCGTCGTAGGCTTCGCCACCGGCACGCTCGGCCACGCCCCAGACCAGACGTGGGGGCTCGCGCTCTGCCGCGGCGACGTCAACGGCAGCGGCTGCGCGTCCTGCCTCGCGCTCGCGCCGGACATCGCCTTCGGCAACTGCAGGGGCGTCAGGGACGTGTCCATCTACTACGACCGCTGCCTCCTCCGGTACTCGGACACGGACTTCCTGGCCAGCCCGGGCGACGCCTCGGCGCCGGTGCAGTATGGCACCAACCTGCAGGTGAACGTCACCGCCGACCCCGGACGTCGTGGGTCTCGCGGCCGACCTCGTGGCCGCGCTGTCCGCCTGGGCGGCGCGGAACTCGACGGCGAGATACCCCGCCGGGGTGGTGACCACCGCCCAAGGGTTCACGACGACGGACCGCAACCTGGTGCACGACATCTACGGGCTGGTGCAGTGCACGCCCAACCAGGCTCCCGAGGCGTGCCTGACGTGCCTCGGCAGACTCAAGGACGAGATGCCGGCCGTGTTCAACGGCTCAACCGGCGGCCAGTTCAACGCGGTGTGGTGCAACCTGAGATTCGAGGTATTCCTCTTCTACGACAGCAGCCCGGTAGTGAAGCTTGTTGCACCTCCGTTGACGCCTGATCCGTCAGGTGCAGCAGTCCACGACGATGGTAAGATCTTTGCATAATTTCAGATACAAAAAATAGAAAACCAACTTATCATAGTAATGGTAGCAGGTATCCATGAATCGTCCACAAATATAAATTATGAAATTGTCGTTAATAGTTGCAGCTACTGTAGTCCTCGAGCTTTAGGGTCTATTTGACAGAGCTTCACTCCTAGATTCTCTTGCGCAACTCCTTGATTTTCGAGTAGAGTGATTCTAGAGCTTTAGGGTCTATTTCTTGATTACGGTGGAGCAATGTGGGGAACATGTGAGAATTGATTCTAGAGTGATTTAGTAGAGAGTAGGTTTTTTAACTTCTACCTACCGGTGTAAACGGAGAAGTGATCACTTCCGGAGAGCCATGCCAAACATCCCCTTAATCGTTCTCATTATCTGCATTGTATTGTATTGTATCGGCAGCAAAGAGGACAAGGGGAGCAGGAAATGCAGCAACAGTAGTGGCCATTGTTCTTGGGGTCCTACTTGTCATCCTTCTGTCCACGTTCATGATGTATCTCTGGAGAAAAGCACAAGTAAAACAATGTGAGTTATGCGCCCTGTTCCTGATGAAGTTCTGCATATATCTTTGATATGTCAGAAAACATATATACTTAGGAGAAAAAGGAAATGATGGTACAAATGAGTCTCAAAGCAAAAGGAACACGCATGGCGAACATTCGTAACTTTAATGGTGATGAGGATAAGCATGTGTATGCAGATGCGGAGGAAGCTGACGATTCCGGGTCGCTCCTCTTTGACCTGGCAACACTGAGGAGGGCAACTACAAATTTTGCCGAAGAGAATAAGCTTGGACATGGAGGCTTTGGCGCGGTATACAAGGTACCGTTGCTACCTCTACTTTGCTAGAGAGTAGAGACACATCTCTTTGTGGACATCATAAACGCGGTGCCTAAAATTGCAGGGTTTATTGGCTGATGGACGGCAAATCGCCGTGAAGAGGCTGGACAAGGCTTCAGGGCAAGGCCTGAAAGAGCTGAGGAACGAGCTGCTGCTGGTCGCCAAGCTTCGGCACAACAATCTTGCAAAGCTTCTCGGCGTTTGCTTGAAGGGACAGGAGAAGCTGCTTGTCTACGAGTACATGCTTAATCGAAGCCTGGACACCTTCCTTTTTGGTACACAACACTACTATCACTGTCCTTCCTGTGCTCGACATGCCAATTATTATTTATATCATTGCCCTTTTGCAGTCCCTGAGAAGCGTCCATTGTTAGACTGGGAGACAAGGTACCGCATACTGTATGGGACTGCACGAGGCCTGCTGTACCTCCACGAGGATTCGCAAATCAGAATCGTCCACCGCGATCTGAAGGCCAGCAACACCCTGCTCGACGCCGACATGAACCCGAAGATCTCCGATTTCGGGCTGGCAAGGCTCTTCAGCGCCGACAAGACTACCACCATCACGAGCCAAATTGTCGGAACGCTGTATGTTGCTCGTGCTGTGTTCTTCCTAGCTTCTTCGTGGAGCAGTAGTTCCGCGATCTGAAAACTCAAGCTGTTTTCATGCTTGGCAGAGGATACATGGCGCCAGAGTATGCAGTTCTTGGGCAACTGTCGGTGAAGCTTGACGTTTACAGCCTCGGCGTCCTGATCCTGGAGATCGTTACTGGGGCCTTGTTTAGTTCGCTTCAAAATTTCAAGTTTTTTCACTCTCTCTCTATCACATCAATTTTTAGCCGTTTGTATGAAGTATTAAATGTAGGTAAAAAAAAAACTAATTACACAGTTTAGTTGGAAATCACGAGATGAATCTTTTGAGCCTAGTTGGTCCACGATTGGACAATATTTGCCAAATAAAACGAAAGTGGTACTATTCATCAGGTTGAAAAAACTTTCAATCTAAACATGGCCTGGGCGGAAAAACACCGACATGTTCGAATCAGCAGCCGGAGAATCCATCATTCTGCTGAGCTACGTGAGTTGCAGCCCTACACATTCCACGAGCCACTTTTTAGATAAAGCCCTTGTGTAGTTCGTGAAATTTGGATTTTGGGTACCGTAGCACCATCGTTTTTATTTGGCAAATAGTGTTCAAACATGGACTAATTAGGCTCAAAACGTTCGTCTCGTAATTTCCTACCAAACTGTGCAATTAGTTTTTCTTTTTGTCTATATTTAATGCTCCATGCATGGGCCGCAAACATTCGATATAACAGGTACTGTAGCAACTTTTTGAAATTTAAGGTGGAAATAAACAAGGCGAAAAGGGATCAGAGACACCGCTGGGTCACTGGGCCAGAAACACCGTACACTTGTACTTTGTACATGCATGATCCAAGTAAATGATTATTTGTCCTGTGGTACTAGATGTGGGACCACTGGGTCAGAGGCACCACGCTGGAGGCCGTGGACCCGTCCTTGGACCGCCAGGCCCCGGAGACGGAGAGCGAGGTGGTCAAGTGCATCCATCTCGGGCTGCTCTGCGTGCAGGAGAACCCGGTGGACCGCCCGACCATGCTCGACGTCCTCGTCATGCTGCACGGCCAATCGTCAGGATTTGCGGCACCGTCGAAGCCGGCCTTCGCCTTTGCGTACGGGGAGACGATGAGCTCTGATGAGCGGCGTGATGTGTCTTCTTCTGCTGCTGCTGCTGCGTTCTCTTTGAACGGCATGTCCGTGTCGGAGTTCCAGCCAAGATAGATGGACGACAATCACGGAAGACACTCAGACAGTCAGACACGACACGATAGAAATACAGATAGGGATGTGTCATGACATGGGCCTTAGGCGTTGTAATAGGATTATGAGTGGATGTGTTTGGGCCATAAGTCTTGTCTGTTATCGGTTCGGCAGGAACCAGAGTCCCATATATGTAGTACCATGTTTAAATGAACGACGACATCAGATATGAACAAATCAATTATCCCCTGTCTCTACCATCTTCCTCCTAGCTTCTCTGCTTGAGACGGCACCGCCGTGCTCTCCACCGTGCGCATTCGCCGGCAAAACCCTCTAGTTGTCCAGGATCGTGACATTTGGTATTAGAGCCATCGATTGAGGAAATCGTGTGGATCTGCTACTTGGTGTCTTGGTATGACCAAATCCGGATCTACGCTGTCCATCGCCGCCATCGCCGGGCTCGAGGCGAAGATGCATCGCCTGCTGGAGATGATGGAGGAAGCGAACGCGGGGATGTGTAGCAGTCTCAAGACCCTCGCATCTGTGACACGGTCGTCCGCGCCCTCGTCTTCGTCCACTTCACCGGCGTCCTCGACTCCGACTACAGTTCCAACAGCTGCGGCCCCGTCATCCACAACCGCACGGACTGCAGCGCCTACACCGACCTCCATCACCATGCTCGGTGCCATCGACGAGTGTGCAGTCACGTGGTCTGCCTGCTGCAGCCACGCTACGGCGTCACCGGCGTACACCGCTCTCACCACTTCGCCGGCCGAACCCACCGCTACACCGACCGTGGCCGCCCTCGACGTTCACCACGTGGCCACACCAGCATCAGCTATCTCAAGCACAGAGGACGATGCCATCAACACTTCACCCATCAAGCGTTCGACACATTGCATCTCTGTCAACACCGGCAATGACCATGCTCTTGTTGCGTCCCTGCATAGTGAGGCCGCGCCCAAGGACTTTCCAGCTCTGACGTTGCTCTTGCCACCAGCCTCTCTGGGTGCTCAGTTGGTGTTTGATGAAATGCCAAACAGGTACACCACCATCGTTTACCCTGCTCACTCAAATGGTGTTTCTATGTCTGGGATTTCCACCAATGTTCCTGAGGTCCTTGTGGTGATTGAGAAAGTGTCTGGGCAAACTTCAGAGGTATTATAGCCACCTTCCTTCACGACCTGCTGTACTTCACTACTAGTGTGTTCTACTGGTCCTGTGTGTTTGACCATGGAAAGAGTGGAAGGAGCAATCTCTCAATCACCGACAACCCACATTGGACACTACAGCCGGCAGGTGCATCAATTTCCTTGTTGGGAGTTCACTCATTAGCCTTGCTGATGGAGTTGAAACCATGGCCACCTCCTCTAAAAGACAGTAACTCCTTACCCACAGACACCTACCTGTTATGCTTACATTCGGGGCATCCCTTTAGCAGTGGTTAGATAGATGCGCTATTGAGGCAGCCAAGGCCACCACCTCTGTTGTTGGACCTGATGGATCCTGATGGTCTGCTCAAGTCAATACCATGGCCATTTTTATGCGAGTCTGTATCTGTCGTGCATTTGCAAAATTCATCAGCATTGGTGCTTGCTATTTCCTTCACAACAGTACAAACATTATCAGTGTGGCAAGAAGTGAGTGGTAGGGCTCTGGACTCCATAACTCTATTGCCGACTTTGTGCTCCCGCGCTAGTGATGGTTTATATCAACTGAAAACTGTGATATCATACACAAACAGTTATATGTTGCTATTCAGTTTCAGTCAGTATGCTTCTCTATTGCTACATTCTAGTCATTGCTATCATCAGCCAGTGCAGTGGAAGCCCCCTTGGATATCTATGGTATACATCTTCAGTAATAGACCCTATATTGCCAGCCTCAGGATCAGGACTTCCACGGTGCCTCATTTGTTCTGGTGGCCAGTGTTTGCTAAGTTGAAATTTTAGGATGTTCAGTACAAGAATTTTTGTGGGGAAGTAATGGGTCAGTGCTTGTATATTATATATCTGGGGCTGCATCATGATTCCATTATACCAAGGATCATTTCTCCAGTTAGTACCCTGTCAGGGAAGAGGTGTTATCGACGGTTCTGGAAACCACCATGGGCATCTTCAGTATGCAAGGTTATCATCTGAAAATTTCTTGCACGGCTACGTAATCTGCAGAGCAGTAGAACCATGGTTGCAATGTTTCTGGGGCTTACCGGAATAAAATCTATGTTACAATGGCCAACAACTGTACTGGATATTATCAAGACCCATGTGCACTATTTTAGTCGTCACATCCTTCGTGGGCCACTATATCCTGAAGGGAGGGCTGTCTTCAAGTTTGCCAACCATCTATATGAAAGTTCAAGAATATCTGAACTGATTCTATTCCACAAAATTACTTCTGTTGCTTGGGATGTTGGTGATATGCAGCTGAGCCATGGCATCTATACGGTGGTCACTCTGTACATATTCAGAAAATGGACAATCACATCGGATTTTGATGGCAAATTTATTTTGCTATGTGTCTCCAAAGTCAGAAAGTTACCTGGAGTAAATCAGATTGATGCCGAACTGATTCTGCACTGGGCTGAATACACCAAGGACCATATTTTCCTATTTCGGAGTAAGCATATTTCCTTGGTTACCTCTTACTAGAGCACGAAAAGCAGATTTCAGATAATCCTGTGCATGGAGTATTTTTGCTGCAGCTCTCTGGGGTTATGCCACATACAAATTACAGATCAACAAGAAGCTAGAGATAAGGACTGCTCGTTTACTCAATCTGCACTATCACATCATAGTGTCATCAAGCGTGTGGAGTACACAAGTGCAAGTTCCAAGGATATTTACATGCATCAGTAAGACAGTGAATTGTTTGCAGTCAGTGAGGTTTCACTTCTACAACTTGATGATTGAGGATTCTTAACTTGTCGTCATGATGGTCTGTAGTAGGAAACGACTTCTTTGGGAACCTCCAAATACAAAACATGGCTTGGTTGCAGAATGGAGTAACAATGTGAGGACCTCTGACTGAAAATATATGTTTATTATATGGTGACTGAAGAACCACAGCTTGAGGGCAAGCTATTGCTTAAGGAGGGGAGAATGTCATGACATGGGCCTTGGGCCTTGTAATATCGGTTCGGTAGGAACCAGAGTCCCATATATGTAGTACCATGTCTAAGTGAACAAGGATATCAGATATGAACAAATCAATTATCCCCTATATCTACCATCGTCCTCCTAGCTTCTCTGCTTGAGACGGCACCGCCGTGCTCATTCGTGACGCAGGCAAGGTGCACCTGCGGCCAGCGGCACGTCCTGCGGTAGCCTGTTAGCGCATACTACGGAGTACTCTGCTTGCCGCATTGTCATGCTGGCTGGACTTTGCAGAATCACATACAGTAGAATATACTAGACACTACCTCCAGATTACAGCGCCCGTTGCTGACCCTACAGATTACGCGTACCAGAGTCCGGAGACAGAAAATTCAGTACCCACAAGTACAAGTTTCAGCCTATAGGCAGCTAACACGGGTAAATAGACAGACAGGCAAATGAGACCGACGTATATTCGTGGGGCTCGTCATCGTTTGGTGGAGCTGTGCTGCGTGCGTGCCGTGTTGAAGGTTAAGAAAGGAAACGCGAACGCGTCGGTCCTGTGCGTTCCTCTGTGGCTCTGTGCGGGAGATTAGCAGATGTAGCAGAGAAGACAGACCTCGTCATGGGTCAGCACATGGCGCACGTACTCACGGGTCACGGCAGGGCTTCGCTTCGGTGTGCCTCAAAAGGGGCGGGCTTGCAGCAGAGAAAGGTAATAAGCTCTGAGGCTCTGACTACCCAACACAACCCAGCCCAAATAGGCAAATATCGCCAGAGGTTTGCAAGTTGTTTCGGGCTCGCTCGCTTGGCTGGGTTGGGTCGTAGGTGGCTCCAGCTCCTCCACCTTTTCACTGTGCCTTGCTCTGATTCTTCACTGCTGTGAGACTGTGGCTGTGAGCTATAGCGACGGCTCTCGCTCCTTTCAAAATACTTGGCGACCAAAATGCTGCCAAAGCAAAGGCTTGCCACGCTGATACAGCATGGTTCGTGTGCCTAGCTAAAACCTAAAAGTGGCACGAAGCATGAGAGGGCCACGGTACAGCCCAAGTCTCACTTCTAGAAGACCACTAGGAATCCATGCCTCTTATCATGAACAACTTCCAACTCTTTGCCAAATGTACTTGTGAAGATTAGCACGCTACTGTACGCATTAGTCCCTGCTAGTGCGTGTTTTTTTTTTAATTTTAACACTTTTTGTACACTAATTTTAAATCTAACACCAGTTGTTTTTTATTTCTAAAAATAACACTTTTGGCCGCGCCTATTTCTATGGCGCGGCTAAAAGCCTGTGTCGCGCCATGCATGGTGACGCGGCGGGGGGCTGACGTGGCGACGACCGGAAAGGCTGACCGTTGACGTGGCAGGGTCTGCTGCGCCACCGATCTTGGCGCGGCAGTGCCGCGCCCTGATCCGTGGCGCGGCAGAGCCAGGCCGCTCTACTTTGCTGCCGAAAGCGCTGTCAGGAGGGCGGCACCTAGCCCTAGCCTGGTACTGCTACCACTGCTGCACTGGCTATGCTGCAGAAGCTGAATGGAGCATGCGGGTGTTGCGCCAACTTGTCGGATCATTGCTGTTTTTTTTTAGCCGGGACCATTGCTGATTTGCTGTGCTGAACTTGGTAAATGTGGTGGTTGCAACTGCAATAGTTACCACTTGTTTTGTACTCTACTTAAAAGAACAAAAAATAACCTAGTGGTATTTTCTATGCATCTAAATATTAGTAGTTTTTGTACACTCCCTCCTCCACAAATAAATGCAATTATAACATAGTACCAAGTTAAATATCTTAAGTTTAACTAACTATATATAAAAAATAAAAATATTTATGATATCAAATAAGTATCATTAGATTTGACATCAGATATATTTTCATAATATACTTATTTGGCTTCATAAATATTAATACTTTTATCTATATTTTTGGTCAAACATTCGACACTTTAACCAAGAATGCACATAGAACCGCGTCCTTTTCTGGATAGAGATAGATTTAGTATTTAATTAAATTTAAGATTGTTTGACTCCTAAGAAATATTAGTTTTAGCTATTTTACAACGCAGCGAGTAGAAAAGAGCATCGGTATGTGGTTCACTTTTTTTTAAATTGACTAAGTTGGTAAAAAATATTAGTAATATATGTATCTCTAAATAAGTCTATATACAATAAGTTTAACAATTCAACTTATGTATATGTGGGGCATGTTCACTTGAACTTATCGGCTAGAATCTATAGTATTTTTTTTCCACAACAAATTAGCTTCAGCCACCTTTAATACCAGTCGAACAGGCCCGTGGTCAAAGTTGAAAATATTTAACTTTTGAATAGCCAATAAGGGAGTGCTCGCCTCCACCATCGTCACTATGGAGTATATAAAAGCACTTTATTTTGGTTGCCTTTGAGTTTTTTTCGCCACATGCTTTTCAACCGCATGAATTTTATCCGGATGCACCTACGGTCACCTGTCTTGTCGCACCACCCAGTAAGAGAGGTTTTACTGGAAGGTAAAAAGACAGCGGCATAGCAGTAAAACACCATAATAATAAATAAAATGACTCTACATTTATGTTCATTATTAAAGAACGATCTGTCTAAAAAAAAGGCATGGCACAAGCCGCTCACTTACATCTTAGAATAATATCATTTTTTTAGTTCTAATGTGTGTCAAGGAATTATAAATGTTAATAAAAAATTAATTTAGCGCTATACTAGAATTGCATCGTTTGTAGGTGCGAGAGAGTAATAAGATTAAGAAAATATAATACCAAAACGTCAAGAAACGTCAAGAGCAGGTGAGCAAGCGGGCCACGATGGGAACTTTGAGGTGAACGAGGTGAGCGTTAGCCATCAGCCTCAGCGAGCGGTGCGATATGAATGCTAGTATTCTGACACAAGCAACCAGAGCGCGGCGGTGCCAGAGCCAGACGGTAGGCCGCAGGCGCGTGTCTCGATAAAAGCCACCGGTTATCGAGGAGCAGCGCATCGATCCCGTCTTTTGGAGTCCATACTACCGGTTCTTTTTTTTACGATTAGTTCGGTTATTTTTTTAACGCACGTCTTTTGGAAAAAATCATATGCAACCTATTAAGATCTTGTTACGAAGGATTTATCGTTAGAAACTCAATGGTACGATTGGAATTGAATTTGAATATTTGGTTAAGAAGTTATGATTTTTTAGTTGGTTGGAATACGCAAGCTGACACGCCTACAATACCGCTCCGCACCGCACAAGCCGCACACAGGCTGCATGCGACTCACCTCATTGTCACTGTGTTGTTGTGTTTGTTTTGTTTTGTCTTATAATATAATAATTTGCCTCAATGCGAGCGCCCGGGGGGCCACGGACAGCTGTGATACAGGAGGCGGCGACTGCGACGTCGGGTTGGGAAACGGAAAGCCTCGTCCCATCGCTGCCCACTCCGTCGCCCACGCCTCTGTGCGGTAGCACTGACCACGCGATCGCACGCGCCTGACCGCGCCGCGGACTGCCAGCGAGATGTACGGGAGAGAAAGAGAGGAGTGGAGGAAGGAAGACAGATGCACCCGCACTGCTCGTCCAGCCAGTTTTGTGACGAGCACGGAAACCGATGCTCTTTTCTACTCGCTGCGTTGTAGAATAGCTAAAACTAATATTTCTTAGGAGTCAAACAATCTTAAATTTAATTAAATACTACATCTATCTCTAACCGGAAAAGGAGGCGGTTCTATGTGCATTCTTGGTTAAAGTGTCGAATGTTTAACAAAAAATATAGATAAAAGTATTAATATTTATGAAGCCAAATAAATATATTATGAAAATATATCTGATATCAAATCTAATGATACTTATTTGATATTATAATTTTTTTTATTTTTTATATATAGTTAGTTAAATTTAAGATACTTTAACTTGGTACTATGTTATAATTGCATTTATTTGTGGAGGAGGGAGTGTATAAAAACTACTAATATTTATATGCATAGAAAATACCACTAGGTTATTTTTTGTTCTTTTAAGTAGAGTACAAAACAAGTGGTAACTGTTGCAATTGCAACCACCACATTTACAGCAAATCAGCAATGGTCCAGGCTAAAAAAATAATGGTCCGACAAGTTGGCGCAGCACCCGCATGCTCCATTCAGCTTCTGCAGCATAGCCAGTGCAGCCGTGGTAGCAGTACCAGGCTAGGGCTAGGTGCCACCCTCCTGACAGCGCTTTCGGCAGCAAAGCAGAGCGGCCTGGCTCTGCCGCGCCACGGATCAGGGCGCGGCAGGTCCTGCCACGTCAACGGTCAGTCTTTCCGGTCGTCGCCACGTCAGCCCCCGCCGCGCCACCATGCATGGCGCGGCGCAGGCTTTTGACCGCGCCATGGAAATAGGCGCGATTAAAAGTGTTAGTTTTAGAAATAAAAAACAACAGATTTAAAATTAGTGTAAAAAGGTGTTAAAATTAAAAAAAAAATCGCTAGTGCAGAGATCGCAACAGAATGTGGGCACTTTCCTGGATGGCTACCATGTGCATGGCCTAGCCTCCGATAAAAGCCTCCCTTTCTTCTAAACCGAGATATTTTTATCTTGAGAAGAGTTGCTACTCTCCGGTACCCCATCCAACTGAATAACTTCTTATCTTCGTAAGAGTTGGCATCCACCTGAGTTAGATGTCATGCCAAAGCTATATATATGTACTCTTCGTAAGAGTAGAAATTAATTCAGAGAAGCGCGTCAGGGGACAGAGCCGAGGAGGATCGGAAGGTGAGGGAACGTCGATAAGAATATAAGATGTATGTGCTCATATTTTAGGAATGTCTACACGTCATTCACATGGAGTTATTTTGTCATTTTACCCACTTTCTTGTTATCTAAAGCTACACCTTGTTTATCTTAAAAATTATTCTCTCTCGGTTACCTACTAGATACTCCCTCTGCCCTATAAAATGTAATCCTAGGTTTGAATTAAGTTTAATTTTTTTAACAGAGTTCATAGAAAAAAATATATTTATAAATAGGTTTACTAAAATAATATTTTCTATGATTAATTTAATAATATTTATTTGGCATCGTCAATGTTAATGATTTTTTATATATATCTAGATAAATTTGAAATTGATTAATTTATTGAATAACATTCTTTTTTTATAATGCTAAACACCAACCGGGTGTTTTATCCCTCTCTAACACCCGACTTCCACCTCCCCGACCCGCACACGACTCCCTCCACCCCGGTGTGCACACGCTCGGCGCTCCTCCCCACGCAGCGCAACCCTCTCTCCCCTCCGGCAGCGGCGGCGGGTTCCGGCGGCGGCGGCGCCGACGCCGACGAGGTAGGCCGGTCCCTCCTCCTCCTGCTGCTGCTCCTCCTCCTATTCCTGGATCTGTGCCCGCCGTCTTCTTCCCCAGCTCCGCCGCGACGGCTAGGGTTCCGGCGAGCCTCTCCCCCTCTTTCTTCTCCAACTCCGGCAGGTATATATGGGGCCAGCCTGGGGGAGGCAGGCAGGCCAGGCGGTTCAGGGGCCCTGGCAATGGTAGTGGCGGCCAGGCCAGGTCGGGGCGGGGACGCCATAACGGAGCTCGGAGCTCGGCGTCACCGACGAGCATGGCCATGGCGGAGCTCCGACGAGTGGGGGAGGGGAAGAAAGCGGCCGCCGCGGGCGCGGCCCTAGTGTGCCAAAGCTCCAACGAACTCTAGCGCCCGTGGCGAGGCTGTGGTCGGCGGCGGGGGCGACGAGGAGGAGAAGGGCGGGGTGCTCGATGGCGATGGACGGGGTGTTGGGAGGAGGAAGAAAATGTGAAGGAGAAAGAATAAAGCTATGAGCTTTTGGATGACCAGATCAACGGTTCAGAAACCGGGTGTTTTGGGGCCTCAAAACACCTACAGATTCTTTTTTTTCGGAGGGAATATTATTTGAGGACTGCTCCGGTGCTGTGCCGTGCTATAAAGAGAACCAGGCATCCCTAGTTCCATGCGCATTTCGTCCCGAGTCGAGCCTCTGCCACATCAACAACGGCGTCGTCGACATTCAGTCCACTGCATTGCTTGACCTTTTGTCTTCTGCTTGTGCTGCTCGCTCGCTCAGTAGCCATCTCGCCGTCGAGCAGTACGAGCAGAGGCGGCCGTCATGAGCACAATCCTCAGCATTCCAGCGCCTACATCGTTTACGCCGACCACGTCGCCAAGCCGTCCAACTTCACCACCCTCGAGCACTGGTACACCTACATGGTGGGCTCCCTCTCCCCGGCCGCCAACTCCACCCGCTTCTTGTACGTGTACGACACCGTGATGCACGGCTTCGCCGCCGAGCTCACCGTCGACGAGGCCCGGCGCCTGTCGAACACTCCGGGCGTGACCGGGGTGTTCAAGGACAAGGCGGTCCATCTGCACACTACCAGGTCCCCGGCCTTCCTCGTCCTCGACAAGGACTCTGGCATCTGGCCGGACACGGACTTCGTCGACGGCATCATCATTGGCTTCGTCGACAGCGGCATCTGGCCGGAAAGCCCCAGCTTCAACGACATCGGGCTCACCCCCGTCCGGCCGAGCTGGAAGGGCTGGTGCGCCGACGGCGAGCGGTTCAACGCTAGCATGTGCAACAACAAGCTAGTGGGCGCCAGGACCTTCACCGCCGGCGCCGGCACGCACACGGAATGGTTGCCGGGAAGAAACGAGGCCCACGATTTCCAGTCCCCAAGGGACAAGGACGGGCACGGCACACACGTGGCATCGACGGCCGCCGGCTCCGAGGTTCCCGGCGCCAACCTCTTCGAGTTCGCGAGCGGGACAGAGAGGGGGGTGGCTCCCAAGGCGAGGGTGGCCATGTACAAGGCGTGCGGACCGATGGGCTTCTGCAGCATGTCGGGCATCGCCGCGGCGGTCGACGCCGCCGTTAAAGATGGCGTCGACGTCCTGTCCTTGTCCTTTGGGAGCCAGGACCACGACTTCTACAAGGAACCCATGTCCACCGCCTTGTTTGGGGCCGTGCGTGCGGGCGTCTTCGTCGCCTGCTCGGCCGGCCCGGACGCATCCTCGCTGAGAAACGTGGCGCCGTGGATCACGACGGTCGGCGCCGCCACCATGGACTGGGTGTTCCCGGCGAGCGACACGCTCGGGAACGGCCAGGTTCTGACCGGGCAGTCTCTCTACGACGTCACGGCCAACCGAACAGACTTCGTCCGGCTGTTGCCCAGCGCCTGCACAGCCAAGGACCTGGTGCCGGACAGGATCATGGGCAAGATCGTCGTGTGCGCTGGCGATTTGGGCGCTGATGCATCATTCGGCGCTGCGGTGCAGAAGGCCGGTGGCAGCGGGCTAGTCTCCGTCGCCACCCAGGATTGGCGTATGGAGGGGCTCGTAGTCCAGGCGTTCACCCTTCCTGCTGTCAGCCTCAGCGCCCGTGAAGCCGAGAAGCTGGCGGCGGACGTCCGCTCGTAGCCTTACCCGGTGGCATCGTTCCGCTTCACCAGCCGCACGGTCACCGGAGAGAACCCGGCGCCGATGGTGCCGTCCTTCTCGTCGCGGGGCCCCAACCACGTCACCCGCGAGATCCTCAAGCCGGACGTGATCGCGCCAGGCACCAACATCCTCGCCTCCTGGCCCGGCGAGTCGCCACTGACGGACGCCGAGGAGGACCCGAGACGCGCACGCTTCAAGATCGTGTCGGGCACCTCCATGTCGTGCCCGCACGTCGCCGGCGCCGCGGCACTGCTGAAGCACAGGCACCTCGGCTGGACGCCGGCCATGATCCGGTCGGCGCTGATGACGACCGCGACGACGCTCGACAGCCACGGCCGGCCCATCGCGGACAACGGCCGCAGAGGTGGCGCCGGCGATGACGCGACGCCGTTGGCGGCCGGCGCCGGCCTCGTCCGTCCGCAGCAGGCGCTCGACCCGGGCCTGGTCTACGACGTCGCGGAGCGGGACTACGTCGACTTCCTGTGCACGCTCAACTACACCGCGGCGCAGGTCCGGATGTTCGTGCCGGGCTTCGCCGGCTGCACGAGGACGCTCTCCGGCGGCATAGGCGGCCTCAACTACCCGTCGTTCGTCGCAGACCTGAGCAACGGCACCGACATCCGCGTGCTGCCGCGCACCGTGACCAAGGTTTCGGAGGGTCCTGAGACCTACGCCGTGAAGGTGGTGGCGCCGCGCCAGCTCTTGGAGGTGACCGTGACGCCGGCTACGCTGGAGTTCGGCGGCGAGCCGTACGAAAAGAAGAGCTACACCGTCGTGTTCAGGAACAAGTACAGGACGCCGAGCGCACATGGCGCGGCGGGGATGGCGCTGTTCGGCCAGATCGTGTGGCAGAACGACGTGCATACGGTGAGGAGCCCCATTGTGTTCATGTGGAACAGACGTGATCAGTGACACGCAGTCGGACTCGGCGATGCTCTGAATTGCGGGAAACGCAGCTTGCTTGACACTTACGCGTTCGTGTTATAAGTATGGCCCTTTCTCGCGCATTACGCACATCCGTCACCGTCACCGACGTTACGCCGTCTACCTCTTCTCCTCGCCTCGCACAATCATATCGTCCCGACGTCCCCTACCTACGGCACGCATCGCAATCCGCCGTCGCCGTAGCCCTGTTTCACTCGTGATGGCTGCCTGCGTAGAGCCCGCCGCCGCCGTCCGCCACCCCACCGCCGCAGCAAAGACCGGCCTGAAGAGAAAGCGCATCGCCGTCGGGAGCACGGAGCTGTACGAGTTCGACGAGACCAGCCGCCTCGGCGCGGGTGCCTTCGGCGCCGTCTTCAAGGCGCGCCACCGCGCCACGGGCCAGACCATCGCCATGAAGCGCCACAGCACGGCCGACGGCGGCCACGCTACGCTGCTACGCGAGGCGCGCTTCCTCGAGGACGCATGCTGCAGCGGCGCCAACCTGTTCGTCGTCGGCTTCCACGGTGTCGTCCGCGACCCCGTCACCTGGGAGATGTGCCTCGTCATGGAGTGCGTGGCGACCAGCCTCCACGATCTCCTCCGCCAGCGCCCGCGCGGGAGACCGCCGCTGCCCGAGGCCACTGTGCGTGCCGCCATGTGGCAGCTACTTACGGGCGCCAAGAAGATGCACGACGCCCACATCATCCACCGGGACATCAAGCCCCAGAACATCCTCGTCGACGAGGGCTAGAGTATCGTCAAGATCTGTGACTTTGGGCTGGCCATATCCACGGACGAGGGGCCTCCGTACGAGCCGGCCGGCGCGCTGTGGTACAAGGCGCCCGAGATGCTGCTGGAGAAGCCCGACTACGACACCAAGGTCGACGTCTGGTCGCTTGGCTGTGGTACAAGGCGCCCGAGATGCTGCGGAGCTCGTCAACAACGGCAGGCCTCCGTTCCAAGGATCCCACGACGACGGACAGCTCTGCGCCATCTTCGATGTGCTCGGCGTTCCTGATGACAGCACACGGCCGTGGTTCTCGTCGACGCCATTCGCCACCGAGGTGATGCCGGAGCTGGACATGCAGCGATACAACCTCCTGCGCGATCTGTTCCCCGAGACGAAGCTGTCCACGGAAGGATTCGAGGTGCTCAGTGGCTGCTCACATGCAATCCCGACAAGAGTCTGACGGCAGCCGCCGCGCTCAAGCACCCATGGTTCGCCAAGGTCGACGGTCTGGAGCTACGAAAGAAAGAGAAGCCTGCGTCCACGTTGCCCAAGCCACACAAACGACAGAGGTTGCGTGCTGTGTGTGTGGCTTAGATTTAATTCCCTTGATCCTGCTTGTATCATGTAAAATTAGTCTGTTGCTATTGTGAACAGATGGAGCTTAAACTCTTGTAATGTAATGCTGTGAGCACTGTGATGATGTAAAATTGTATTATTTCAATTGACGAATCATTTTTGGTTGTCCTTTGGAATGAATTTGATTGGTCTATAAAATTGTCTCGAAGAGTTTTCTAAATTTTTCTCAAAAAAACACCATGTTTTCCGACTCCTAAAAACATATTAGAAGGAAAAAAAGTTATCTTCAATAGTACCCAATATCCCACTTAAAAAATTAAAATTTAGTCCTACTTGGATTTTTTTTTTTGCGGCTGACAATTTTTTTCCGCGTGAAAGTCTTCGCCGCCGCCGCTCCTCCTTCCGTCGTCGTGGTGCCCTAGCGCCGTGCAGTTCTAGTCGGCCTCCTTTTTTCAGTGGCATTTTCGTAAATAGTATCGTCTTCTTCCTGGGAACAAGCACGTATATAAACAAACAAAGGAGGTTCTTGCCCGTGATGAGGCACGCGTCCTTGGAGCAGACTCGCAGGGGCCGATGGCAGTTCCTCCCGCGATGCTAATGAGGGAGACGAGGTTCTTGTTGACCTTCCCACGCGCACCATCTCGACTACCTCCATGGTGAGCGCGTGTGACGCGGAGGCCGTCCCAGAACTGCGGCTCGATCGACACCAACGCGCAGCAACCATGAGTTAATCTCCGGTCCCACGCCGTGGACGCGTAGCGTCGAAGCCAAGGCAGTGCGCGCGCGGGTCGCGCCGCGTGCTCGTGCACGGCGGCGGCGGCGGCAGGTCGAGTGACTCGCCGATGGCCGGGATGGAGATCCTGATGGTGCAGCTGCGCACGTCGAGGAGGCAGAGCAGGCCACCGCAGCGGCCGGACCGTGGTTTGGCGCCGCCGAGCACCGGGGGAAAGAACACGACCGTGTGCGTACGCGATCCTGGCAGGGGTTCGCATCAGCTCCAACATCGTGCGGCATTGCCGATCGGCTTGTCGCACCAAGTGTGGTGGGCACCGGAGCTTGCCGCATCAGCCGGTAGCATGCGCGCGAGGTAGAAGACGACCCGGGAAGGACGATACGCGCGCCTGCGATGCGCGTATCTTTATGCGCACGGGGCTGGTTTTTTAAGTGCGGAAGGATTAAGAGTCGCTGGAGACGGATTTTTTTTAATCTTTCTAAAAAAACAAGGATTAGAGAAGATTTAGGATACTCTTGAAAATATTCTAAGGTACATAGATGTCTCTAAATTTTGGTATGCCAGATCTCTGGTCTCAGCAGGAGACAAACCGAGTAATAATAAAAAGAAAAATCAAACGTTAGTGCTAGCACCTGGACATCCATCCGAACGCCCGCGCCTGCACCCTATTCCCTACCGCGACACACACGGCTCTCTCCACCCCGCGACCGGGAGGTGGCGTCCGTCCGGATGGAGCTCCCGCGCTTGCGCTCGATGCACGCAACGCCCTACGCCCATCCCGTTTAGGTCAAGCTCGAACGGCTACGGCAAGATGGAGGAAAGGGAAGGGAGGGGAGGAAAGGGAAGGGAGAGGGTGAGGCGCGCTGCGCGAGAAAGACTCGAGGTAGGAGCCGAAGCCCTGCGGCAGACCGCTCTCCGCTAGCCACCGGCGCCATGCAACACCCGGTCTACTTTTGAAACATCCAGATGAAACATATGCAACATACGTCGAAGACAAATGAAACACTCGAAACATACGTGTATAGCCATTGCAACATGTGCAACACCATATCAACTTTTGAAACATCCAGATGAAACATTTGAAACAAACGTCTGAAACACATGAAACAATTGAAACATAATTGCATCATGCGTATATTACCATTGCAACATATGCAACATCCCATATCGACTTTTACAATAGTCAGATGAAACACTTGAAACATAAGTGTGAAACGCCTAAAACACTTGGATGCATGGCGTCGCCGGCGGCCATGGCCTACCTGGTGGGGGACTGTTGTACCCAGCAAGCTTTGGAGAACGAGGATGGCGACCGCAACCTCAACCGCAAGCACTGCCGTGTGTCCTCGCACCACCACCCCTGGGACGTGGAGCCAGAGCGGCGCCCACTACCAGGGACTAGGAGGGGGCATGGGGACTGAGAAGCAGTGGCTCGATGACGAGATGGAGCGCCGCCGCATCTGCATCAAAGACTGGCAGGAGAAGCCGCCACGAGCAGCAAGGTGCCACTGGCCCGGGCCTGAGGTGGGCGACGGTGCCGGGCAGGGAAGAAATGGACCTTGGAGACGAGGAATATGATGAGGAAGAGGATGACACGGATTTGGGTGAAAGGGATAAGCGCAGTGGAGTTTTTTTAGAGAGGGAGAGAGAGAGTGCGCCAGAGCGGATGAGTGGAGGAGCGGAAGGGATAAGCGCAGGGGATTTTTTTATTTGAGAGACAGAGCGACCGAGTGGATGAGTGGAGGAGCCGCGTCCAGATGGGACGTGCGACCGTGGCCAAGTATTATCGAAAATCAAAACATGGGAATTCAGGAAGAAGGACATGCTACTGAAGTACTGATGAAGAGGAACGAGAATCACAAGAGAGTGATGCACTGGACGAAGGCAGTTGCAACAAGGAGCCAGCCAAAAAGAGCTGGGTCATCCAAGGGCCTGTTTAGATGCCGAATTTTTTGGCAAAATGACACTGTAGCAATTTTCGTTGTTATTTGGTAATTAGTGTCCAATCATAGTCTA